TATCATATACCAAGTTACCTTTTATTATTTCAGAAAAAAATAAAGTATTACCGAGAAACGTTCAAAATATTAGGAAAAATATATGAAAACAGACGCCATTTTGAAATAAGTGGCGGCCATCTTGAAAATGGCCGAAACTTGAGTGGCCAACGATATTTCTTATTCAAGTAATAGTCAAAGAACCTTCATGCAAAATTTCGTGCTTGTATCCGCAAGTGAAATATTTTCCCCACTATCCGCTCCGCTAATTCATGGCCCTAGGGCGGGGATAAATAATTAGGTGGTGAAAATGTATTATTTCTTTGAAATCTTCTTGTCTGCTCCTGGGAATTAGAAAAACAAACTCATTAAATAATTATCATGAGCAGGAGTGCCTCTATCAAAATTGTGAATTTTAAGTCCCCAGGGTCAGGGGTTCTGGTGTAAGGGCGGGGCTCTATTGATTAAAAAATTAAAATACATGGATCTTTGTAAATCTTCTTCTCCGCTCCTTTATATTAAATAAACTAACTAAGTGCATAGTTATGATGAGCAAGAATGCCTCTACCAAAATTGTGAATTTTATGTCCTCAGGATCAGGAGTTCTGATGTAGGGAGGGGGGTCTATTGATTATATAGTGAAAACACATGCATTCTTTGAAAATCTTCTTTTCCACTCCTGGGTATTAAATAAACTAACTAAGTGCATACTTATGCTAAGCAAGAGTGCCTCAACCAAAATTATTAATTTTATGGCCCCAGGATTAAGGTTCTGGGTTTTGGACGGTGCTCTATTGATTATAGTGAAAATACTCGAATTCTTTAAAAATCTTCTTTTCCGCTCTTTTGTATTCAATAAACTAACTAAGTGCATAGCTATGATGAGCAAGAGTGCCTCTTCCAAAATTGTGAATTTTATGTTCCCAGGAACAGGGGTTCTGGTGTTAGGGTGGGGGCTCTATTGATTGTATAGTGAAAATACATGGATCCTTTGAAAATCTTCTCCGCTCCAGGGTATAAAATAAACTTACTAAGTACATAGTTATAATAAGCGGGAGTGCCTCTATCAAAATTGTGAATATATGGCGCCAAGGTCAGGGTTTCTGGTGTTAGGTGTTGTATAGATTATATGGTGAAAATGCATTATTTCTTTGAAAATCTTCTTCTTTGCTCCTGAGTATTAAATAAACAAACTAAGTACATAGTTATGATGAGCAAGAGTGCCTGTACCAAAATTGTGATATTTTTGGCTCCAAAGTCACGGGTTCTGGTGTTAGGACGGGGATCTATTGATTATATAGAGAAAATACACGAATTTTTTTGAAAATCTCCTTCTCTGCTCTTAGGAATTAAATAAACTAACTAAGTACATAGTTATGATGAGCAGGAATGCCTCTTTCGATATTGTATAATTTATAGCCCCACGGTCAGGGGTTCGATGTCAGGACGGGGCTCTATTGATTATATAGTCTTTGAAAATTTCTTCTCTGCTCCAGGGTATTAAGCAGATGAAATACCTATATTGTTATGATAGACAAGGACCCTAACCTTCCAGAATTAAATTGTGAATTTGTGAATGGTACCATAGAAGGGGGGGGGGGGCTCTACTTATATACTGAAAATGAATGAATTGTTTGAAATATGCTCCATGGTATTAATCAAATATCAAGGCCTAAGGGTAAGAGGTTCATGTGTGGTAGGGCCACTATTGATTATTGCTGAATATAACTGATAAGTTGAAATGCTTTTTTGCTCCCCTACTCTGGGTATGGGCATTAAGTAAACAAACGAAGCAATTGTTGTATTGTTATGATGATCAATGGTGTTTCTTTCAAAATTGTGAATGCCATAGCATCTGGCTCAAAACATGAATCAAATTTAATCACTGGAAAGTTGTTGCATAATGCTCAGGTGATCCATAAGGCCCATGGGCCTCTTGATTGATTTCTTTCCTTTATATAGCAAAGAGTAAGTTTAATGGTATCATATATATATTATAAGATAATAATAATAAAAAAAGAAAGAATATGTGTACATCGGTGCACAAATTCAAGCGTAAATTACGTCACTCATAAGGTCATGATCTCATTGTCTGCTTCATTCTGCTTAAGATTCAATATTTTTTTTAAGTGATAGAGTACTCTTGAATAACGGATATATTTTTAAATTCACTACTGTCTGTTTGTTTTTACTTGTTTTTTTAAGTAGATTCAAATTTCAGTCGAAATTTAGTCGAAAGATTGCCTTACATTGTAGGCAGCAGAGATAACAAATTGTTTGACGTTGTTCGCGGTCCAGATATTTCCAAATTGTCTGCGTTTATCAAAAAGTACTCCACTTCTTACATGCCGTAATCAACTATTTTCGGTACTGAAGAAAAACTTTCATTTCTTGCAATTTATAAATTACTTTTTTTATTAATATCTTTTGTGTAATGTCACTTCTGTACTCTTTTGTCCAGTCTCCAATGTAAACTAACCATATCCAACACAATTTATTACTTCTCCGTACGCCAAATACGCGTTTGACAGCGTTGATACAACTAGATGCTGCCATGAGACAGTAATACCCGCACTAAGGTGTTTGCCTCTAAATACACGCTCCTACATATTGGGCGGCTTTCCAAAGAAATAGTCAAAATAATTCTATAATTTACAGGTATTCATCAAATTGAGTATGAAATACTCAGACCCTGTGACCTATAACTCAGAACCTCTTATATTTATTTTATATACCAGTCTGAATTTTATTAATGATGTAAATTCATGCACGGATCTGTCCGGGGGGGGGGGGGGGGCAGGACCCCCTGGAATTTACAAGGTTAAAAAATGTATATACTAAAACAAGGAAAAAAATAAAAATGGACCCCCTTTGAAAAATGCAGAATCCCCCCCTGGTAAACACGAATATACATGTGTAGAATAAGTATGAAAAGTTAAACATTTGCGGCAATAGAAGTCACCACTTCTCCCACCCCACCTCCAGGATATAGGTTTTTGACGTTTGGGTGAGATTTACTTTAGGGTTTTTTTTTATTGTCAATTTCTGGGATAGGATTTTTTTTTTGACTGAGGTGGACCCCCCTCCCCTGGAAAAAAATTCTGGATCCGCGTCTGAAATTAGATTTTGATATATGATTTGCTCACAATAGGACCTTTTTAAATTTACTACCCCCCCCCCCCTCCTCGACACCTCAATCACACAGCATATACATTTTGGAATAGGCTAGATGGAAAAGGTTTGTTAAAATTAAATATCGTTTGTTGTAAATTAATTTAAAATTTGTTCTTGTACTGTACATATGTACATGTAAATTTCTACATCACATCACGTTGCGTCACCCATTATCATATTTATAGATTAAACACCATTTGGCACACCTCGGTCGATTCCCACTTCATTTGATAAGGTGATGGAATCGACGAAGGTCCAAAATGGCACATGGCTGCAGTCTGCTGTGCATTGGGTTAATTCATTTTGAGTTATAATTGGATTTATATTTCATGAAGTTGAGACACAGAGAGTCGGTAAGTAGAAGTTTTAGTATAGTGGGGGGTAAAATACACCCAAACTATGAGGTTAAATTTTAAAAAGGATGAAAGATCATCGCATGCCACACTAGACGAATTTCATATTGTGAAGTTATCTCCCGTTGTCGCTGTGCCATTCAGTTACTGACAATACTGGTGCGGATCCAGAATTTTTTTTCGGGAGTAGGGAGGGTGGTTCACATCTCAGTCAAAAAATTCCAGCCCATAATTTCGTGACAAGCAGGAGAAAAAAATGAAAACAAATAAACAAATAAAAAAAACAATGATAGTCAGGTCAATGTTTTCTAAGTATATAGAGAAAGAATGTCAAGAGTCATTTTTTACTTGCTACAGTATATAGTCTTGTTTAAATAACAAAGCAAATGCCAGATGGGCGGGGGGGGGGGGGGATGGGGGGATTCCAATCTTCCTACCCACTTCCTGTCCCTGAAATAACAATGTATTTTGTTATTCCAGTTAAATAGTATATTTTTTCCATTTGACTAATTATTATACATATTTTGTTTCTTGTGTTTATAGTATGTCTGTCTATAAGTCTGCAGAAATTAAATCCTAGCTATAAGCTTGCCCATAAGTTTTAAGTGGGATGGGCTATACAAATAGCTTCAACATTTTATAGGTTTATTTCTTGTGACAATTTAATAAGACCTTTTATTTGAGTACCATTAATTTTTACCTCTGATCGCTTGACATTGGATACACATTTTTACAAGAAAAATACCAAACTTTAAACTCTGCCTAAATTTTGATCAGTAGGTGCCAGGGCTTTCATACTTATCATGACATATTGTATTCATTGTGAACTGTCTACAGGTATAAATATGTTTGACCTTGACCCTAGAGTTTGAACCACTTAAACAAAAAATTAACCTTGGCAATTAACTTTTGAACAGGAATTACTAGGGATTCCTTTATTTCACATGTGCATTCCTTGTGAAAAGACTTTCTTCTAATACTAACAATTTGAACCCTTTGACCTTGACCTTTGATTTTGACATATATTTGAGAAACTTCAACCTTCGCCATAGGCTTCCATACTGGTACATCAGTGTTTCACAAACACATTTTATCTTCATAATTATTTGGTGGTATCTCCATATGAGGGAAGATGTATTCACAACAAACAAACAAATCACTAAAGAAAATATATGTTGGTCGTTTAAGGTAATTCCACCCTCCTATGATGTCATAGGTTTTTGCAAAAACTGTAATTAGTTTAAATTCGTACCTTATTGAGAAATATCTCTTTGAAGAATGCTATACAATAGGTGTAATGATAAATATTGTTTAGTTAAAGAATTCAAAAAATGCATATTTCTATATTTAATCAATTATTCAATCTTTAAATAATGTTTACAAGGGCAATAACTCCTTCTAAGGTCTCTTCATTCAGGCATTTGCTTTTCTGTAAAATAGTTTACCTGATATTTACAATTCAAAAGTATCTTTTGGGTCGGAAGTATTTAGGAACACTCAGCATCAGAATTTTGCATATTAACCAGTTTTTACATATTTTTCTCAATACTTTTAACAAAAAATGTACAATTTTTTTATGTTGACATACAGTTCTGTTTATTTATGTTTTGCATCTTAAATAATATGGTGACCTATACATTTTTTGCAATAAATGGAAAGTTTAAAGTATATTGAACGAAAATATATGCAGTTTTTGTACTTTGAACCTATAATATTGTGAGGATGGAAATTCCTTAAGAAACAATTATCATAACTGTATTTACATGCATATGTACATCTTTATTTCTAGCCATCCTTGAGAGTACACCCTATGCTATGGTGAAATCGTTTCTGTAAAGAATATAATTTACTAAAAATATATTTTTTTTTTACTCAGACTTCCACTGAATGTTTAGATAATCAGCAACATCACTTCGTTCTATAAACTTCAAAGCCCTGCAAATATCCTGGTGGCTTAAATATGGACGCTTTTCTTTCAATTTCATAAGAGATTTAAATATTCTATCTTCGATGTAACGAATATTTGCCTCAATTTGTTCTATACAAATATGTGGCAGACCTAAAAACCGTACCAAATGAGTGTAGTTATTAGAAAGTTTCTCAGATAACACCAAGATATCTTTCTTTGAAACACCCTGGCAAGGTCTAAAAATTTCAGCGTAACGAAAGTCAGAAAATTGGACAGTCCCGATACAATCTGCAGCGTCTGATTGTTCTGCTTTCCTTAAAATTCCCTCCAGCTCTTTTAAGTGATCTAAAGCTGAATATTTGCATTTCCATTTATAGAGAATTCTAAATCTTTCTTCGTCAAGACATAAATTGGTATCTTCAAGGTGTACTCCAAAGTTAGCAGCAAGTATAGGAGATGTTATGCCACGTAGTCTTTTAGACACCACATTTAAAATAAATTCGATTGCTAAAATGATAAATATCAATTACATGTGAAATGATTAACCTGTTTTCAATTAAAAATCAAGAAATATAATTACTATTAATTATATTATCTGTCGCTCATATATAGGAAGTATAACATGATATTAAAACTATTTTTATCATTAAGTATGAGTTTCCTATTTCAATAAAATAAAAACTAAGGATAATGGTAAGATTGATTAATTGGGAATACATACGGTTTGGAATGCTCTCCTTTTCAATTACATTCTTAGCTTGACTTTTCTGTTTGATAAAAAGTATTGAAAATGGTATCAAATAATCAAAGTTAATAACAAACCCTCTTTTAGGTGTTCCTCTTATAATGTCTTCGTGTTTACTAAATTCATAATTATTTTAAAGTATTTAAAAATATTTTCCTGACAAATTCATTCAATAATGCAAATGGTACCTTTTTCCAGTATTTGGTGACGTTGCTTGTGTGAATAATATGCTTTTCACGCCAAGGACAATAAGGGCACTGAAAAGTGGGCTCTTTGAACTCATATTCCTTGATCACATGACTTCTTTCACTATCGCAGAAGCCGACAGGTTTACATTTGAAGGCAATTTGGTATTTCATGTTTTTCTGGAATGTATTTGAGAGCATATGCAATACACCTTCAATTTCTTCTTGTATTTGAGTACATGTAGTTAAATCAACTTCTCCATCTATAACGAACACCTGCAATTGAATTTCTGTTGACGTCATTCCAACCAAAACGTTGTGGTCCCTATACAGAAACACAGCCGCTGTCTGGTAAATGCAGGGCTGTTCTTTTTCTCCCGTTTTTTCTGTGACAATACTCCAAGGAATTTGCATGCAACTTGCTACAAGGCGATGGAATATGCCCGCAGGAAGAATATCAAATGTGAAACAGAGGATGGATGAAGCAGGATATGATGTAAACGCATTCATTGGAAATTGTTTTTTGTTCATACAGGGAACATACCATTTTTTGTTATCAACTTTAGCCAAAAGCCCCAGCTTCTCCATGTACAGCATGATATCATCTTTGTGTTCCATGAATTCATTATTGTTCATTTTCCATATCGCAGACAGCAAAGTGTCATTCAATTCTCCAGTCACATTAAATTTATCCCACACTGATGCATACTCTAACAAATCCTCCTTTGCATGGTTTTTATCAGTAATTATATTTTTGAATGCATCTGCAAACCACTGAACATCGAGTATAATTACTCTTTCGAGAAATTTTTGATGAAAATATAAGATTTCTTTGACATCATGGAAATACTGCAGCATAGTATTTATATCTTCATCAGTCGCCAATGTAATATCATTTGGCAATGCTTCATTGAAATCAAAAAGTGCCCCTTTCTTTATAATTTTCAGGTGTTTCTTCTCCTGAAAGAAGTTTTCAAACATAGCCCAGGAATGCGGAAGCTTTTCACCCCAGTGATCAAGTTTCTGAACAATTTCAATAATTGACAATTTGATTTTATCAATGCTTTCATTTTCATGGAAACCTATGGCAAACATCTTCTTCTTGTCAAGATGCCTTTGTAGGGACTTGTCCTTTGTTTCCAAAGTCTTCCAAATCTCACGGAAAAACTCTCCTTTTTCCTTGTGAAAAAGATAGCAATAAAGACATATGCCAGATTAATTATACATAACAAAGAATAAAATAAAACATCTTTTTTACTGTGAATATGCTGTGCGTAATGTCGACAGTACCGTTTTACTTTATGCATAAAATAAACAAATTATTCCCTAGCAATCGTGTTACCATTCCAAATATGAATAAAAGGTTAAAATTTATAATTATTTTTTTATTTCATAAATAAAGTGTTCAAGGAATCAATTTGTGATTGGTGTTATTTGAAAACAGGTTTGGTGAAATCTCAATTTTCTTAATCTTAAGGAAAATGTGGATAGGAGCAAACACGGATTTCCGAAATACCACAGATGGGATCAGGTGTCATGAAGGAGTGAACATCCCCTGCTGACCGGTCACACTTGCCGTATGCTCCTTGTCATGATTGGATATAACAAAACAATCCTTAGTCAATTCAGTGTATAAATAATGTACTAACAATTAGCATGAAAAACGTCAGTCAGCATTTGTGTCAATGATAAATTATGATTGTATTTGCAAACACGGTCATTGTTTCGGCGTGAAGTTTAAGAAATGATGAGTTTAAATGAGACTGTTGATATTCTTAATTCATCAACTTTCTTGTCAATCATTTACCTCGTTTTATCTATTGTTAATTGGTATACCGTATATACTCGCCTATAAGTCGGTCCGCCTATAAGTCGTTTTGTTTAGGTTATACCTATATATAATTGTAATCTCACAATTTAAAGAGGGTGTATGTCGAAAAATATAATAGTGAATACCTCTTCTGTCTTTTCCTCTGCATGAGTGCCGACAAGTATAATTGGAGCCTTTTTACTGCTGTATTGGTGAATATTCTTTGCCCAAAATGTTACATAATCTAGATTAAAAAACAACAATCGTTGACTTCAAGAAACTGAAGTGAATGACTTGTCACTAGTTGATTATGACGTCATTATTTTACAATTATGGACTCGGCTTCAGCTTAGTCAATAAAGGTGAGTAAAAACATATTCAACACCAAAAGAGCCCATATCTGTTTTATTATATTGTCGAGATTTGAATGAATTGGACTCAAAAGACTACATGACGACACCGTTTTCATTTGTGAACTTCCTATTTTAAAAATAATAAAAAAAACCAAATCACAGTTTATAGCCTCCGTATATTTTCCTTTCCGAGTTTTGGTATGTTTAGAACATCCTATTGTTTGAAAGTACATGTAATCCTACGATAAGTTTGTCAATCAATGCTTAAGATTTTTTTAAATTAATGTAATTAGGCGAGGCAATGTGTTCGCAAAAATTTAATTCTTACGTATGATAGCAATCCTTAAGACGATATAGGGCAATAACCACAGTTTGTGGAAATTTTGTTTCGCTTCACCAGAGTCAATGACTATCTTGCGAAAATAATTTTTCGCAAAAACTAAGTAACCTACAGTAGGCTCATTAAAGAAATCTGATAACGAAGGCACATGGTTTTCACGTCAAGGCAGAGCAGCAAGAATACGTAAAATAAAAATGGTAGTGTTTTGTGGAACTCTTTTCCAGACTAGCCAACTTGCTTAAATGATAAAAACAAGTCTCAAGGTTTGTTGTTTCGCTGGTGTATATATTTTTCTGACGTATAATCTGTTTTCTAAAAAATCGTTTAAGAAAAGAGGCAGGTAAGTTTTTTTGTAATGTTATATATTATGATAGCAAACAGAATAGTTAGCATTCCCTGATAGATTAACATGCGAACATTTATCCGGCTGATGTGACATTAAAATGACGTAGTGATGCTGCCCCAGATTAATGGACGTATGCATGTTTATAAATTCACCGGAACTTATCTAATTTTCACTAGAACTAGAACTTTTGCATAATTGTTTTATTCTTTCTTCATAAATGTTGACGGATTTTCATGAATTTTTCTCTAGTCTTTATGGAGTTCAAGTAAATAATTCCCGAACAGCCCTCGTAAGTCATTTGGAAGTTAAGATAAATGTATATTAGCATTATTAAAAACTAGTTTTTATTTACTTTTCATTACATTGGAATAAATTAAAATTATCTGAATTTACTTCTTTATAAACCTCCAGTCAACAAGACAGTACAATTCAAAGAAACTGATAAACGTGGAATAATTAATTCAGTCAATGTGTTTACCTATAAGTTTTATCAATAATTTGATCAATAAAAAGTGAAGCATTTTGGAAAAATGTCCCCAGACAGAAAGATGATGAACAAATTCAATTAATTACATTTTACAGGAGAGACACGAATCAAAGTGGATGTGTCATTGTAAAATGTTTTCAACCCCTGTCATGCTTTAGATATCTAAAAATTGGTAGAAATTAAACCATTTTTCGACCTAAGTGTTTACTTTTTATAAACATCGATGTCTAAAAAGACATGATGATTACTACATTCAAATATAGAATATTTAAATAATAGTAATTAAATATTCATACATGCTGAAAACAGTGATTTATTGACTTCGAGGGTAATATTTATAGACTTATTTATATATAGCATAAGTTTCCATATTTATATAGCAATGAAAATGAAGTTTTACTTTACAAATACAAACCTCTGTGTGTCCATCCTTTGTAAATGGAACCTTCTTGATTACACACTTCTTTTCCAACGATTTCATTTAATTTTTTCTCCATATTGAACACCAAAATGAAGAATGCTCGTGGACTCAAAAAAATCTGGTGTGAGGAATAATATGAGCACTGTCCCGCAAAATCAACCATTGAGATTTTTTTCTCTGGTTCATCCAAAACACTTTTTGAAACCTTTAGAATGCCTAAACTTTCTAAATTATCGGTAGCATTTCGACTTTGAGTTGCTTTTTCATCTGCTTTTTCAGAAAGTGGAGCAGCAGCGATATCTCCCTTGAGCAACTCACTTTCTGTGTTTATGCTGTCACGTGATACCTCTTCATTATAATTATAAGTGGCCTCGCTAATAGGAGCTTCTTCAATATCCCTCGGGTCGCAAATATCCAGCGATTTCGTCTCATCCGATTTCATTTCATCAGATATTTCTTCAGGAGGTTTTGTAACATTGTGATATTGACTTTTTTCATCAAGCATAACCGAAAAACGTTGTTTTTGGTTTGAAAAATTAACTGTGAAATGATTACAAAAGAAATTTAAAAAAGTCATTAATACATGTATCTCGATTTAAACAAGTGGTTTGATACATAACAAACTTGACCCCCGCCCCTCTCCTCCTTTATATTCATATGAAGCAGAATTTGTGCAAAATCGTATGTTTGAAAAGAATATAACAGATGCTGTGGCTTTCAACCAGATATATGGACAACGTATTTTCATTTCTATTCCTATGTCGATACGATATATTCTGATGAGCTTTAGATGAAAGATGCTTGAAAAAAAAAACCTTAATGGTAATCTAACGAATAACATTTATGATAAACGTGATGACTTTATCGTGAACATCCCTTATTTATGCAGTAATAAACTTTCATCACTTGCATATGGAGTATATATATCTCAGTTGACTTGATACACAATTATAAATAATTTCTAAAATGAGGTAAATTATTGACAAGCAAGCTGATGAAACAAGAATATTAACAGTCTGTTTTAAAGTCATTGTTTCGTAAGTTCTATGGTCGATACGATCACATTGTCAGCAAATTCAATTTATCATTAAGGTAAGTGCTGACTGACGTTTTTCACACTAATTGTTAGACCATTATTCATACATTGAATCGACAAAGGGTTTTTCCGTTATTTCCTGATCATGACAAGGAGCACACGGCGGATTTGACTGTTCGGCAGGGGATGCTTATTCCTCCATAGCACCTGATCCCACCTCTGTTGTTTTGGAGATCTGCGTTTGCTCTGCTCCCATTTTGTATTGTTTGATGGACTTAGATATTGAATACTGTTCGTTATCTCTATATCCCTCTCTCGCAATCTCTCTTTCTCTCTGAGGCAGAAACCTTCCTTTAATTGATTCCAAACAAATTAGAAACAGTTTTTGCTTTGTCGAAAAAAAATTTGATGAAGTCAAACTGTTGGTTAGTATACACAATATGACATTCAGTGTGTAAATTTTTATATTTGTATATCTTTTTATTTTGGTCAAATTGCCTAGTTATATATTTTTATGTGTGTATTCCGTTCATCATCAAATTCTTTCTTAAATGATTTAATAATACTTATCTAAAAAAAAATAAAATTGATGTATAGAATACTGCATACAAAAGATATAACGTATTATACCCTAACTCTTTTGGCTCTCTAGCTAATGTAGGGATACTTGTGCTTATGTGATATGATAATGATATCAAATTAAGTATGTATTATGTAATATTCTAGTTATATCATACAATAATGTACTTGTTAATTTATTGAATCTGATTCGCCGAGAAATATTTGCTAAAAATCATTATTACTTTATAATTGGTGAAGTCACACCCTCCAGCATTACATCAGCTAAAATTGCTCAACACATTGAGAAATCAGTATTTAAAAAAATATCAGTATTCCAAAAAAATATATCAGATTCACACAATTCATGAATCCAGGTTTTAATGTAACATGCATTTGAAAACAAAATTCAGTTTGCCCATTGAAAAAAAAAACAATTTGTGGACCTCATTTGTTCCTTTGGGATAAAATTTGTGTAATCCGTAATTGCATGCATCATTCATATAACACAATACCTTCGATTGTATTTGACACATCAAAGACGTCTGTCTGGATATCTATTCCCCTAGTGGATCTTGTGTTTTTCTGAATTTTCTCCAGGTCGATGTCCTTTAACCTCCCTAGCAGTGTTGATTTCCCGCTGCCTGCACACCCTATCAACATCCCAGTGGCGTAGTACATTGTTGTCTTTCCTTTCTTGAGATTGTCCAGGAAATTTTTCACGGAGTCATCTCCTCTCATTATAACCTGTACTGGTATACCCACTGTAATAAAACAAAACATATCTGACCGGAATCATACTCTACTTGTTTTATATCTTATCTCTCAATAATACGAAATAGTAAATATAAAAATCATTTATTGTAATAAGAAAATGGAACGTGACCTGCGCGACAACTATCACCTTATATTTTCATTACTGATTTTTTCTCCATGTGATAACTCTTTGAAAGTTACCGGAGTTAATTTTTTCTTGATAATTCTACCGGAATTTAAATTAGGCAGGTCAATAGGTCAAGAGCTATGGAGGCCAAATATGCATGAAAATCACTTGCGGCCTCTGTCATGTTTGGGCCGTTATGCAAATTATCCAGGTTTCCCACTATTGTTCATGCCCTGGCACAATATACTTACTAGAAAGGGATTCTTTAAATAATTATCGTCACTTTCGCACTGCAATTCTTTAGCGGAACTCATTCTTTTTTTCTACTGGGTAAGAAAAAAGCTAAAATATATGGTGGCATATTTCTGCCCTAAGTTGCCTGTCAACATAAATAAATTACATCTAGCATATTGGATGTCACATGTGGGCGATATTTGAGATTTTTTTAATGATTTTTATTTGATTGCAAATTTCTAGCATATCAACGTATTTATGTTGCCCGTTGACATAGCTAAGTTGCATGCCAACATATTTATCTTGCATGTCGACATATTTGACAGAAAAATAACTTGCACACAAGGGGCAGAAATATGCCACCACAAAGATACTTTGTTCGTGTATTGAAGTGAAATGCCACGCTTTTCTTAACACAATAATTTAACAAAATGAGTAGTAGTCGAGAAGGATATTTGATTTTCTTTTAAAAACAAATACATTATTGAACGGAAATGCAATAACGTCAACTTCTGGAATCTTGCTGCTTGGGGTGGAATGGTATACAATAGATACACAGTTTTTTTCATCCATGATGTTTGGAAATATTTATTTTAGAAGGTAAATGATCTGTTGCAAAACCCTATTAAATTTTTTTTTTAAAGAAGGTAAACTTTTAGGTCGTTATCATGAAGTAGAAAATGAAAGGACTGTCAACAAAGACCAGTTACATGGGGAAAATAAAAAAAAAAACATTAGATCTCTATTCATTTTTATGTTTATTTTTTTAGGCATATACCAATGCCAGAGATCTTTTTAAAAAGCCGTTACTTTTATTATCAAACATGGATTTAAGAGTTAAACATTGACACATCTCTAAAATATGGTATTGTCTTCTGTTGTTTGATCACGTCAAACTTGAATAGAGTACAATATAGCTAGTTCTTTTATATCAATACGACTAATTACTGAGATTTATAGGGTTTTTAATGCCTTTGATTTTATTTTTTCTAAATATTCTAGCTTATATTTTCCTGATCTCAAAAAATCAGGGACAGGAAGGCGGAGGAACTTAATTTTGTTCAACTTTGCACTGCTTGTTTATTTTCACATGACATGCAGAATCAAATTTTAATTCAACGTAGATATCGTAGTCCGCTACCTTTTATCATATGATTTAAACTTCTCTGTACATTTCTACATCAAACTTTGCAATATTCTATTGTGAACCAAACTAAACCCCAAAATTCATGGTTTGTGCAAGTTTTAATTAATGCATCACTAGCTTTAATGTAGGTTTTGATTTCATTACATCCTAGCACTTTATGAGGAGAAGAATTTGAAATGATAAAAGCAATATTTTTTTCATTGAAAAATGAAAAAAAATGCGTTTGCTCCTCCTTGAATTCCCTTCTATTAAAATACATTGTTCTTTGTTTAGTTTTGAAGTGTCTGGTAGTTACAGAAGAGAAAATATTAATGGTTTATAAAACTCGATGGAATACCCACAGGACACGTATAAAAAAGGACAAATTTTGGATTAAGAATTGTCACATTTGGTAAGCAAGAACAGACTCAATTCTTAAATTTAATCAGAGTCCGTAGACCAATAGGCCAGAAACGGCGTTTGGATATTGCATCTAGCTAGTATCCATAGATGTACAAGACACTTAAGTCTGGTTTGTTTACATTTCTATCTTACATCGATTCTTCATAGACAAACCGAAAGACAAACTATTATCCTAGTTTAACTTCACACTTTTCGTTCTTAAGTAAAGGAAATTAAGGAGATAAAATATTGTGAAATGCCCAAAACTATACCAAAAGAAACGTACGTTTGCTATATACTAGTTCATGTATTGATTTGTCCTTCATTGTTACGTGTGTGAACATGTCCTCTCCAAGTCGATCTATCAGCTGTTCCGTCTGATTTTCCAATAACCAACAACAAACTTCTTCCTCATCTTCTCTTCTCAAATAATTTGATGACCTGCAGAACTTTGAAATGTTTTCTTTTTCTGCCCAAAATAGAAACATATCAACAAATCTCCGTTCTTTTGCAAATCTTAGAAAGCTGGTGTCTCTGAAGAATTTGCATGAAAACTCGACAATTGAACTATTCTGTTTCAGCACTGGTTTGTACTTTTTCAGTTTGCTGAAATCGAATTTCTTCTTAAGCTTCTTAAATTTGAAAACGTCAGCCACAGCATTATATTTCTCCATCCAATGTTCTTCTTCAAGATTTATTCTGTAGTTCTGACAAAGAAGAAGGCACATCAAAAGTGCATCTCCATCTACAAACAGATATATAATAAATATATATAATATATGTTTCCTTCAAATACCCGACTTGCTGTAGTTAAAAAAGAGTTAGAGCATTTCGGATAAAAATTGGATAAGTAAAGGTTTGTAAAGGAGAAAAAATAATTTTCATGACACGAAACCTTGCGGTCTGGCAATTTAAGAAAGGACTCTTAAGGATGAAACTTTTAAAAAGCAGAATTCTTCTACTTCTTCAAGAAAATGGATAAAATGTTTATATTGTTTGTCAAAGGTTTTCTTTACAGGTTTAATCGTTACCAACCCTTTCTCTTGTGAATATCATGAAACAATTTCTCAACATCCCTAACGTCATGATGTTTATGACCACTAGAGGTCGTGATACAGATCTCACACAAAGAAGTCTCACACGGGACACAGAACTCGGTCAATGAATAACTGGGATGCTTCGAACACTCTTTCTTCTCCAGAGGGAGATCTGCAATAAAGGACAAAAAACTGGCTATATTTATAAGAGGCCCATGGGCTAAAATACTCATCTGAATAATTATGGTTATTTATACACTGTATATTAAGAATTAGGGAATAACTATCCTTTAATTTGGTATTTATGGTAGTTATTGCTGATTTAACCTTCGGAAACTGAGTTTTACCGGCGACGCGTTTTGTTTGTTTTGTTGCATGAAATATGTCACTGGACATTGTGTGTTTGGGTCGCTCTATTATGACGTCACAATATAAGGCTTTCTGTCACTTTAATGTTCGTTTTACTGCTTCAAACATCAGTGCATTAGTCAATTAAAATGTGTTTAACAAAACAATTGTATTAGAATTCTTCCTTATACTCTCAGTTAATAATCAAAAAGCATTTTAAAGATATTAAACACAGAGATTTTTTTACCAAAGCAATTTTCATAGGAAAATAACACTTAAAATATGCTTTCCTAATTATAATTTTTCAAATTGCTTGCCGGGATACACATGAGCACACAAAACAAGCATTTATTTATATTTAAGGTCATTTCATGGCATTTAATGTGTGGCTTAATACCAAAAGGCAGAAGGGGGGGTTCAAAGGTTTAATACAATTTTGATATATATAATCCACAGAGCAACCCCCTGCCCACTTACTCCATAGAATCCATGATTCTGGGTTAATTCTTGTACAATTTGGTCGAGAGACCCTTGCATTTCATATCAATTCACATAGTTTATCGGTTTTATATCAATTTGCAGAGAAGGTTTAAAAAAAGAAAGATTTTTACATAAATAGTGAATTTCTAATATATATTTAACATTAAAAAATTATCAAATGCTCGGTGACCCAAAGTGTCGAGTGAAATTCGAAATTTGATGCACTTTAACAGCATATGGCGATTTCTGTACATGAGTAAAAATTGTTAACATGTTAAATATGACGTAAAACAAAAATCAATCAATAAGTCCTAAATTAGATTTGCCTCTTGAGCTTATGGCCTTAATATCTTTAAAAAATATTCACTCCCTGAGAAGAACAAATGTATCAAGTTTGATGTATAAAAAGCAAAGTGTTATCTAGAATTTAAGTGGCCTATTCATGTTCAGTTTCACACTAGTACTTCAGCTCTAATAGTGAAACATAAAACAAAAACACGTCACAACAATATAACTTACATGTGCCGGCCAGATAGTCCCCATAAACAAGTCTATAGATGTTCACTTTGTTGCTTGTTTCAGATCCGACCCAGAGTAACTGAGTTCTGTCATCATAACTCAGGCCGCAGGGTGTGTATATCCTGTCTTGTGATGTTTTTATCTGTGACAGAAATTCACCGTCCTTGCTAATTATATGTACTGAGCCGGTCCTAACATCACACACCAGAATGTGTGATAGCTCATCAGTACAAATTCCACGTGGTTTTAGTCGTGATCTTGGTAGAGGCCCTTCGTAGCAGAATCGGAGTCTTCCTCCACCATTGGACACCACTACACGGTCCACGTCAGACACGATAACATCTCCATTGAGGTTCTCTTTGATGTAGTTAGGTAGTCTATACAGTCCCTGACCTTTGTTGTCGTGCTGTATGGTCTGTATGCATTGCCCCGTTTTAGTGTAACGGTTTACCTTGGCTGTTACTGTATCAGCATTAACCATCCCGACAAGCAGGTCTCCAGTGGAGGGAGAGCTGCATACACAGCGTGGCTTCCATGGTTCTATGTACTTTATTAATATAGTCTTTACTTTGTTATATATGGTTAATTTGATGATGTTTAACTCCCTGTCTAGATAAATTAAATCGCCACTGCTAGTCACGGTGTGTCCACCCCATGCACTCCTAAGTAAATCTGTGAGACGATCTACTTCATCACCTGCACTATTTGTCAAGATGAGATTGTCTTTATCACTAATCCAGGTGAAGTCTGACGACACACGAGAATTGTGAGTACAATGACTAACACCCGGCACCGTGATAGATTTTCGTAACACTAACCTATACATCATTTGCATACATCATTTCATCGTTATCCTGTCGTTTTTCTTTAGAACAGAATCTCCTGCTGATTTCTTTTATCATTGAGATTTCTCTGTAAATGACAATATTGCGTTATACCTATTAAGCTGCAGGTTTAAAGATAACTGTTCTGGAAAAAATTAGAAAGACAACCACCTTTATACCTCCATTCTAATTTTTTTTCAGAACAGCAAAATATTTAATATTTCGGATCTAACATTTTTTATATATCAATGATAGGTTTCCTCTTTTTCCTCATTTTCTATGTAAATAACCATAAAGTTATGTTACACATGAAAATATTATTCAGCGGCTCAGAGTGCACCTTTGGGTATTGTTACTTTAATATTTTTCCTAACACAATATATCTATTAGTAACATGAAGATTTATGTCAACAATGTAAACAAACTAACAAATAATTATATGTTGAAAACTCCATAGATCCTTAGTTTGTATGTGTACTGTAGATTCCTTATTATACACAATTAATTTCTGCGTTATTTTGCGAGAAGTGTCATTCGCCAAAAAATATTCCTCTCTTAACGTGCGGACTTTAACAATTGAACGCATCCGGCGAATCGTAATTATCAACAATAACAGAGCTCGTGCCCTGTTTACAAGTTCAAATTTGTGTACAATTCACGGGTGTGTTCCATTTGCTAAACTCTCTTAAAAAAGCGGAAAAGCGGAATGACCATACTTGTAGAGGGGTTTTGCTCTTTAACATTTTTACTCTGAATATAATTATTTTTCTGGATAAATATCTTGATATTTTTATTAATACACAACAAGATTGTTCCTTTTATTCTATTACTTGTATTAAGAATAACATTAAAATTGATGAGAATGCAAAGATGTGTCAATCAAACCCAAATTTAAAGTTTCACATATTTCAAAAATTAATGATATTTGTGTGTGAAATAAAATTAAAATAATTATATCACTGGTGATAATATACAAATAAATCTTAACCTCGAATCTATGTTAATTCACCTTTATCTAATTTGTCAATAGTTTGTAATTTGTTTCCAAACAGCATGCATTCAATTACATTTTCCATCGTTTATTTTTTTATCTTTCTTAAAATAAAGTTTTCTAAGTATGCAATTTATTCATACATGCACCAAACGTTTGCAATTTTGACAATCTTTAATCTTTTCATTTACTTTAAATAAGGACGGATCTCGACTACACTTACGCATCATTAAGATAACATAATTTTATATCATACAAATCTAAACACTTAACTCGACATTTCAGCGAAAAAATCATATCTGTAAACAAGAGGCCCATGGGCCTTATAGGTCACCTGAATACCATGTAACAACTTTCCAGTGATTGTATTTGGTTCGTGTTTTAATCCAAAAGCCATGAAATTCACAAACTTTGAAAGAGGCACCATTGCTTTTCAAAGGGTAGATTTCAAAACATTAATTTATTTTATTCAAAGTATCCCCCTGGTACTCCTGACCAAGCGGACCTGAAATTATCTATTTTGAAAGAGGCTTCTTTCTTCATTATAAGGCCAGCATTTTTTATGTTTAGGTGTAGTTATGAACATGAGAATAAAAAATTCCCTAAGGAGAAGGAAATAAGATTTTTTTTTTGATAAATCAATTATTAACATTTGTACATTCTTTTTTTATGCTATTCTAATAGGCTCCTTACCACTGGACACATAATGCTTACAAATAGGAAAGTAGAACTTTAAATTGCTTATTTCATCATCTGCCAGTTTGGGCCGGTTATATAAATTTTGTGATATTGGTCAAAATATATTTTAAAAAATCAATTCTTTAAAAGTCTTTCAATATTTCTTCAATTTTTTTAAATATGTTTTAGGTGAATGTGTAGACATTGTTCTAAAATTTAATCCTATCATAAAACAGACAGGGGGTATTGCGTGTGTAGGGTGAACATTTTTTTCAATTAAGTGTAAAATAATTTTTCTGGCGAATACAAATGATACTACATGCCTGTATTCTTGCCTTAACAATTTCTTCCTTAAATGGACTGAACTTCTCTCATAGTTTTATTCATTACATCTGATGCAAAAGCAACTCTTTTCTGAAGAATGATGCTTAGACTGTAAGCCATAACAGAGACCTAAACAATGTCGCTGGTAAAATGCAACAGCTACCACGGGCAGTTTAAAACCTGGGGGAGGAAAATAATTTACAGATACTTTTGAAACGAATACATAATTATCTCACCAGCATGTCATTGTGCAACAAAGTCGTCAGTATTTTATTTGTTCTTTGAATAGGTGAAACTTTTTGAATGGCACTCGTATCGATGAATTTTACACTAAACCAAGCTATCTTTTTAGATCTTATTTATTTACCCGCTGTTTCATCTTCAAACCGGAAGTGCGAGTTCGTAAATTTGAAATCTCGATCCCGACTCAAATTTGACATCGGAAAGAAAAAAAATTGTTGCTTCGACCCTGCGGTCCACGCAGTAAATATATAAGCAAAGTTAATCCGGATGCCCTTGGCAAACGACAGGCTACGCATGCGCGCGATTGCTTGAGAGTTCGCACCTTAAGTAACTTTCCCGTAGAATTATTCGCCCTATTCGGATTAGCAATTCATTGGCAAATCGCGCTTTTAAATCTGCATATCGCATTTACACATTTATTGGCAGATTCGATTTCCTCTCTTTTTCATATACTTTTATACTAAACATTGATTCATGGTACAAACATTTTAAGAATAAAGTTACAGTATATAGATACATTACTTAACAACTTGAATGAGAAGCGTCATCCAACGAACAGAGATACGTGTAGCTTTTAAAGCTTTTAAAATAGAGCAAGTTTTCACCTGCATTAGTTTTGTGCATCAAGACTCGCAAAATAATTTAATATTTCAGCAATCTAATTATTGTCTGATAAAGGTCTGTAGCAAGGGCTTTTAATGTGTGTGTGTTGGTGGGTGGGGGCTCCGACAAAATAAAAAAAAACAAACATTTTTCCCATGATAAATTTCTTCCGTATAAATCCAGAACAGGTGTCAAGTCCCAACCAATATGTGTTACACGTGTAAAAATAACCCGATTTTTTTAAACATGTTAAAACTGACAAAAATAAAGATCGCTAATCGGAGATAAAATTTCACATCTGTGCTTTGAGACTACGATCAGTTATAAGTGGAAGATAATTTTAGAATAAGTGAACAAACCTTACATGAATATTCCCTACACCTAGAAATTTTCTTAATTGAATTTCAGTTAGAAAAAAACACGCATATGGTCCACGTATTGCAGCCCTTTTTTTAAAGGACAGCAACTTGTTTTATTTTTTTCTGAACATTCAAAACCTTGAGCTGGGGGTTTGTAAAACTGAAAATAAAATAAATCCTGGCCTTAAATATGTAATTAGATCATTAGCATATTAACCAGGAGCAAAACATAAGATGTTCAAAGAATTCATGCATTTCACTATATAATCATTAGAGCCCTACCCTAAAACAAGAACCCCTGACCCTGGGGCCATAAAATTCACAATTTTGGTAGAGGCACTCTTGCTCATCATAACTATGTACTTAGTTTGTTTATTTAATACCCAGGAGCAGAGAAGAAGATTTTCAAAGAATTCATTTATTTTCACTATATAATCAATAGAGCCCCGCCCTAACACCAGAACCCCTGACCCTGGGGCCATAAAATTCACAATTTTGGTAGAGGCACTCTTGCTTATCATAACTATGTACTTAGTTGGTTTATTTAATACTCAGGAGCATAGAAGAAGATTTTCAAAGAAATAATGCATTTTTACTACCTACTTATTTAGCCCCGCCCTAGCACTAGAACCCCTGACCCCAGGGGCATGAATTTTACAATTGCGGTAGAGGACTCATTGCTGATTACAATCATGCAAACAGTTTGACTGCTTGATGTCCAGGAGTAAAGAAGAAGATTTTTAAAGATTGCATTAATTTAAGTGGTTTTGGCCCCACCCCTCAGGCCCCAGGGGGGCAGGGAACATGAAATTCACAATTTTTGTTCCCCTTCACCCATAGATGCTTTGTGCCAAATTTGGTTGAAATTGGTTCAGTGGTTGCAGAGAAGAAGCTGAAAATGTTCAAATGTTAACGCACGACGCACGACGGACGACGGACGACGACGGACAAAAACAGATAGCAATAGGTCACCTGAGTTTACTCAGGTGACCTAAAAAGAGCACTTCTTTTTATAATTTTTGTTCTTTTAGAAATACCTACTTATACATTTGTATGTCTATGAAACAGACATTGACTATAAATATCACAAATTTCAGTGAATATTTCTTTAGGATTTCTCATCAAGTTTTACAGCAGCTGAATTGAAGTGTTTATTTTAACTTCAGTTTACTGATTTTTTACCATTCAATTAATGCAGTGTATCGAATAGTCTTTGTTTCCCAGCTTCTCACAATGCCACTATGGGACAAAAAGTTGTCACATGAGTTGTAATCAGTTCAATGATTAATCATGCGAGAAAGTCAAGCTTAATGTCATATGATTTCTGTGTTTTATTTCATAGAGCTAAGGGCATAATTTATTATACAGCCCTCGTATGTATCTCCAAAAAGGTACATGCATCAACTCTTTAGGCCCCTGTATGGTCTTACTTTAAGGGATGCATATAACGACCCTCTGATATAACACAGATAAGTTTCAAAGTACAAAACATGAATAATACTCACAATTTGTTAATTTGAGTTTCATAACTGAAACCTCTGACTAGTCAATTCGATGAAACCTAACATATGAAAGAAACATTATTTTCTATTTCTTTTACCAATTTCTTTTTGTTTTGATTTTTTTTTATATTTCAATACAATATTCACAATACATGCATATTATATCACAATACAAAATTCAAAACCAAGTTCAAAAGCCTTATAAATTGAATTAGTTGCATCTTTTAAGGACCATTTTAACAATGAATTGTTTAATGTTTCACGTACTTAAAATAGAATTTTTAATAGTATGAATTTTTAACATAAAATATATTTAGAAGAAAGATAACTTCTCACAGATGTATTTGTTTCTTTCAACCATAGAAAACATGCGGATTTTCTGACTTAGGAAGCATCTCTTCATGATGTTTCCTAACATGATTTAAATAGGTATGATACTAAGTATTACATGTATTATCAAATATATCTCATATTTTAGATTTAATGCTATGATAATAAATCGTTACTCTTTCTGTTCTCTACGTTGACATTTCTTCATATCTAGGTATAAAATAAAAGTCATTTTTGAAAGAAATAAGCTTAATACTTCAAACATTTTCCATGTGGCTCTAATGCTATTGTTGTTATGAAAATCGATATTAGAAATTTTAAATTTTCTTTGTGAAATTAATTGCAGAGGGCTGGGGTCCTTTAAATCTTATTTTTGTTATGTTATTTTCTTGTCTACTTTTTAAAACTAAAGTAGTATGACCAAAAAAAATTCTATCTCTATTTCCTTGCATAAAATATCTGCAAGTTTTGGAATGTACAGTTCTTTCACGTTTAGCTTTTGCACTGCTTTTTAGACGTCAAACAAAATAGAGGTACTGTGAGCAATGAGCTCACTAAATGATACCCCCTGCCTCCCATAATGTCCATGTGTTGCTATATATTTTTTTACGGTAATGTGTAAATAGGAAAAACTCATCCTATCAAATGTTATCCAGAAGCTTCTATGTGACGTCATAGGTGTTCCATGTTTTGCTATGGGAAATTTAAAATACGTGTCGAATAAAAAAGTAAAATAGGAGGTGCTCAATTGTAATATGCAGTAAAGAATCTGTGAAAATTTCAAATATTACACTCAGTAGTATAAGATCTAGAGGAGTTGCGGTTAAGAGTTAAGGCATAACAGACGGACGGACAGACAGACAGATGTACAGACGAACGGAAATACCGATTACTATATACCCTTTCACTTTTCAAGCAGGGGTATAATAAATTCAGTTTGTTTCTATCTAAAAATTTGAGCACAAAATCAATGACAGGTTTTTGATTAAATTTCTTAATATTTTTTTTTCAGACTACTTTCGATTCTTCGAATGATGTTCAATGTTGATAGTTAGGTGATATTGACATGATTAAGAAATTAATAAGCGAATTGATTAATGGATGACTCTACATTTTTACGAGAAAACTAGTATTGGTTTCATCCATCAATAGTTATAAATGCAATCTTAAATGCAAATGTGTATGCAGAGTTCTAGTTTTATATTAATCGAATTGGGTATAGCTGGTATAAAAATATTATTATATTTGATTTTCTATGTTATCTGAATTTTTCTCAAAGAAGCAATACTTTTTTAAGTTCATTAAAAAATCTTGAAATTATAAAGTAATCTTTACCACACACGTTGAAAACTGAACATTCTGCGCTTGGTAAAGGAAGAAAATCGGTAGTTTATCAAAGTAAAATCAGTAAAAAAAAATCTGATAAAGGTCCGCCTTCAACTGCTTGAGATAGTTTTCAATATCTAAGTGCGACTATCGGAGTGAATTATTATTCATTTTGTAATGAGATCTGTCTATTTATCAAATAGTTCAAAATATTTGTAAATTCTAGTTCATTACGTCACTTCTGTTATCGTAGCAGTTTGAAAGTTAAACATTTTGAAAACTTATATGCCATTTCCATGAATGCAAATTGAATTATTTTACAGTGCACTTTTTTGATCCACAAGATCGTCGTTTTCCTGGTTTCAATTACGTTACCTAGATAGAGCGAGATACATCTGTAGCGCATTGCTGGTCTGTTACTGTGAAGGTTAAAACTTTATATCATATTATATGTTATATATTATATGATCTTTACTAAGAGGTGTTTTAAAAATCAAGCAGGACAGAGCGATTCTTTGAGCCGTTATCTTTTCTAACTATTGCTGTTTCTCACAAAAGACTCCAAGGAGAAGTACGTGTTTGATATGTTCCCCTGATGTAAAACAAGAGAGATAAAGAGAGAAAAAAACTGTTGTAATTGCATTAAAACAGATCAAAATAAACATACACTTTTAACCTTAAAATTTGTGGTAGTCAGTTTGATTACACCATGCCTCATAGAGAACCTTAAATTAAGTTAGTGATTCGCGGTTAATTTGTTTAAATTTGTGAAAATGAGGGGGTCCAGAATCTATCGTACATAAAGCTTTTATAGACGACTAGCTATACACATTACAATACCCTACCTCTGTTGAAAAAACAACTCTGCCGGATCCACCACTGAATTTCTTGCCACAGGAAAGAAACACAATAGACGTCACTGTTCAATAGAGAGAAAGGAGAGGTAAAAAAATAATAAATGCAAAATGTATTTACAGGTTTTCATATACCAATCCTGTCGTAAAAATTATGAAAGAACAGAAATAATCCCACCTGTTACGACCTGTTAATCTGTTTTTTTTTCTTCCTTTGAAAATATTAGTTATCAAGCTGGAGCGGATGCATACAAAGAAGTTACAAATCTGACCCCAAGAAAGGCTTCCTGCAATCGACAGCACATATAAAAAATATGTAATCAATAAAAACTGAATAAAAAGGACCACTAAAGTAAATTAAGGGCAATTAACGTAAAAATTAAGAAATTGCGCAGGCCATCAAGAATTAAATCATATGTTCACAAAACTTAATATCAAAGGGACAACAAAAGATGTAAACATCAAATGGTGGCATAAAGGGTAAATGCGAAGTCAACTGCAAAAAGGTATATTTGGTCACTGGAAACAAAATTAAATATCATATCGACGATACACATAAACAAGAATCAATCGATGGCACAAAATAATTATAAAAATTAAATAATAAAATTCAGTCAATTTCACACAACAAGGAATGTCTAATAGAACTTGTTGAAAAGTGCGTTTACTGTGAACTGGCAAATTGGATAAAACTATATCCTTCCTTTTTGACTAATGAGATGTTTCCTTGTTCTTAATTACCGATCCTAAACACACACTACTGATAAATGTTTTCCAAATGTAGTAAGTGATTGAATATCAGAAAAATGACTCTGGTTAAGGTTAAAAAATTTATTAGGTGGATAGAAAATCTCAAAAAACTGAAATTACAATTACACACAACCTATAGAAGACACATAGACAAGCATTTAGACAGATAATAAGAACATAAAAGACATTTTTTTTGAATATATTTCACAAATTCATCTTACCGGGACACACACAAGAATTCACAGATATTACAATCTATATAGGATGAATATATACATCTAGCCAGTTCAACAGCTAGGCTAAGAGCACCCGATGTTAGTTCGTTAAAGCGGAAATTCAGTGAATAGTATAAAGTCATGTGACTATCCGTCTTGTGTCTTGATAATAATAACTACCTCATTCACAAAGAGTCTTTCATACCACATTCTCACACATACGCAGCACAAGTTCAGAGTAACATTTTTAAATACCATTACAAAACCCTGGTTACACAAATCTATACTTAATAAGTTAACTATTGCTTATTATACCCGCACTTTCTAAAGAAAGTTCGGGTATATTGTTGTTACTCATGTCCGTCCGTCCGTCCGTCCGTCCGTCTGTCACACTTTTCTTCCCTGAACTCCTCCTACATTTTACACAGTAGCTTAATCATCTTTTGGGAGATGGTTTGTGGGGTCATGTAGATGTGCAGTAAGCTTTCGGAATTTTGATTTTGCCCCAGGGGGTCAAATGGGGGTCGAAAAATGACGTTTTTTAAGCAAAAAGCTCCGTCTTCCCTGAACTCCTCTTACATTTTACTCAGTAGCCTAACCAGCTTTTGGGAGATGGTTGGTGGGGTCATGTAGATGTGCAGTAAGGTTTTGGAATTTCGATTTTGCCCCGGGGGGTCAAATGGGGGTCGAAAAATGACGCTTTTTGTCCAAAAAGCCCCGTCTTCCCTGAACTCCTTCTACATTTTACTCAGTAGCCTAACCAGCTTTTGGGAGATGGTTGGTGGGGTCATGTAGATGTGCAGTAAGCTTTCGGAATTTTGATTTTGCCCCAGGGGGTCAAATGGGGGTCGAAAAATGACGTTTTTTTGTCCAAAAAGCCCCGTCTTCCCTGAACTCCTTCTACATTTTATTCAGTAGCCTAACCAGCTTTTGGGAGATGGTTGGTGGGGTCATGTAGATGTGCAGTAAGCTTTCGGAATTTTGATTTTGCCCCAGGGGGTCAAATGGGGGTCGAAAAATGACGTTTTTTAAGCAAAAAGCTCCGTCTTCCCTGAACTCCTCTTACATTTTACTCAGTAGCCTAATCATCTTTTGGTAGATGGTTGGTGGGGTCATGTAGATGTGCAGTAAGCTTTCGGAATTTTGATTTTGCCCCAGGGGGTCAAATGGGGGTGGAAAAACGACGTTTTTTAAGCAAAAAGCTCCGTCTTCCCTGAAATCCTCTTACATTTTACTCAGTAGCTTAACTAGCTTTTGGGAGATGGTTGGTGGAGTCATGTAGATGTGCAGTAAGGTTTTGGAATTTCGATTTTGCCCCGGGGGGTCAAATGGGGGTCGAAAAATGACTTTTTTTGTCCAAAAAGCCCCGTCTTCCCTGAACTCCTTCTACATTTTACTCAGTAGCCTAACCAGCTTTTGGGAGATGGTTGGTGGGGTCATGTAGATGTGCAGTAAGCTTTCGGAATTTCGATTTTGCCCCAGGGGGTCAAATGGGGGTCGAAAAATGACGCTTTTTGTCCAAAAAGCCCCGTCTTCCCTGAACTCCTTCTACATTTTACTCAGTAGCCTAACCAGCTTTTGAGAGATTGTTGGTGGGGTCATGTAGATGTGCAGTAAGGTTTTGGAATTTTGATTTTGCCCTGGGGGGTCAAATAAGGGTCGAAAAATGATGTTTTTTATGGAAAAAGCCCCATCTTCCCTGAACTCCTCTTACATTTTATTCAGCATCCTAATCATCTTTGGGAGATGGTTGGTTGGGTCATGTAGATGTGCAGTTAGGTTTCGGAATTTTGATTTTGCCCGGGGAGTCAAATGAGGGTTGAAAAATGACGTTTTTTATGGAAAAAGCCCAGTCTTCCCTAAACTCCTTTTTTGTTTTAAACAGTGGTCTTATCATCTTTAGGGAGAGTTCACTCTTTTGAAATTTTGTTAAAACATCAAGGTCAAGGGGTAAAAAATCATAGCATGTTGGGAGCCTCTTGTTATGGGTAATGTTCACTTGAAATGTGAAAGTCAAATCTCTTCTCAATGAAAAGGAAATACAACATTAATGAAAACTAAGTTAAACTTCAAGGTCAAGGTCACAGAGTCAAAAAGTCATGAAACATTTTGGAAGGTCTTATCACAGGTAATATGAATGCCCTTTCATTTATCTTTCAAAATGATCAATTCAAAGCAATTAATTTTTTTAAGGAAATTAGGTCAAACTTCAAGATCATGGGTAATGAAAATCATATTGTATGTAGAATGGTATTGTCCCATTTAATACTAATACACATATTTAATATAAAAGTCCTATCTCTTCTCATTCAAAATATACGACCATGATGACCAAGGTTAAATTTATTGTGACAGATAGGCAGATTGACAAACAAATGAGATTTAATGTACCCTACCTTTAGCAAAAATGGGGACAATAAATGTCTTTGCTGTTCTTGAGAAGAAGATTTATGTTGGAACAAGATGTGTTTGTGAAACACTACGCGCCCGGCGGCAACAAAGTTAAAAAAATCTTCTTTTAGCATATTGATCACAGTCAAGGTCACAAGGTCATTGACCATGGTGTCATTCGAAAGAACTTAATCAGTGGAGTATGCGTACTAAATATGAAGTCCCTATCTCCCATGGTTCGAAAGTTGTGGCAAAAAGTGTAAAGAGCTATTTTTAGCATATCCATCACAGTCAAGGTCACAAGATCATTGACCTTGCCGTCGTTTGAAAGGACTTTATCGGTGGAGTATGCATACCAAATATGAAGTCCCTATCTCCTATGGTTCAAAAGTTATGACAAAGTGGAAAAAGCTATTTTTAGAATATAGGTCACAGTCAAGGTCACAAAGTCATTGACCATGGTGTCATTTGAAAGAACTTAATCGGTGGAGTATGCATACCAAATATGAAGTCCTTATCTCTGATGGTTCAAAAGTTATGGCAAAAAGTGTAAAAAGCTATTTTTAGCATATAGGTCACAGTCAAGGTCACAAGATCATTGACCTTGATGTCATTTGAAAGGACTCTATTAGTGGAGTATGCATACCAAATATGAAGTCCCTATCTCCTATGGTTCAAAAGTTATGACAAACAGTGGAAAAAGCTATTTTTAGCATATAAGTCTTAGTCAAGGTCACAAGGTCATTGACCTTGAAGTCATTTGAAAGGTTTTTATTAGTGGAGTATGCTTACCAAATATGAAGTCTCTATCCTATCCCTTATTGTTCAAAAGTTATGGCCAAGGTTAAAGTTGACAAACAGACAAACAGATAAACAGACAAACAGACAAACAGACAGGACAAAAACAATATACGCCCGGGATCTATCGATCCGGGCACTTAAAAAGTACCCTGCATATTTAAATGTAAATTGGTTGAAATTAGCCTAGTGGTTCTTAAGAAGTTAATGTGAAAAGTTTGCAGATAAACAGATGGACAACAGAAATCAGTACATTTCAGAAAACAGTATGCTTATAAATAGTTAATCAAGGTGCTTTGGGTAGCAAAATAAAGCTAAACTGGTATATCTAATTCATCCGCAGAGCTTAGTATATTTCAATATGCACAACCTTTTCAACTCTTATAATTATTTTTTAAAATTTATATCACCATGTCTCATTCAAGGGAGAACTAGAGATATGACCAGATGTATATCTGTTGAATATAAAATATGTACATGTATTCTGTGTTTTTTTTTAGTAATTTGTTTGTTGTGACAGCAACTGTTATGGCAGCTTTTGGCAAAGGTTGAAGTTTCTCAAATGTAAGTCAAACTCCAAGGTCAAGGTCAAAGGGTCTAAATTGTTGGTATCAAAGGGAAAGTCTTGTCACAAGGAATACACATGTGAAAAAAGGGAGAAATCCCTAGAACTTCCTCACCTGTTCAAAAGTTATTGCCAAGGTTAAAGTTAAATTGGATTCAACTCGAAGGTCTAGGTCAAAAATAATTATACCTGTTGAAAGTTCACAATGATTACACATGTAAGAGCATGAAAGTCCTAGCACCACCTGTTCAAAACTTATGCCAAGTTCAAGGTATTTTTCTTGTAAAATTGGGTCAAAATCCAAGGTCAAGAGATCAAGAGGTCAAAATTGGTGGTACCCATTAAAAGGTTTTGCCAAAAGAAATTTACCTATGAAATATTCAAGCCATGTGTATAGCCCAATCCACTTAAAAAATATGGGCAAGGTTAAAGTTTCCGTGGACAGACAAAAATACATAAACATAGGAAACAAAATATGTATAAATAGTCAATTGAAAAAATTTTCTACTATTATGGAGTCATAAGATCAATTGTCATTTCAGGTACAGGGAGTCAGTGGCTAGGGAGATCAGACCCCCCCCCATTGTAATTAGCAGTTATTTAAATAAGACTATATATGTACTGTAGAGAATAAAAATGACTTTGGACATCCTCCCCCTTAGAAAACAGGGACTCCACCATCATTGTTTTTATTATTATTTTTTATTTCCATCTCAGGAAATCTTGGGCTGATTTTTTTGACTGAGGTGTGACACCCCCCCCCCCCCTTTCTGAAAAAAAAAATTCTGGATCTGCGTCTGTTATATACTGAATGTCCGCAACGGGAGATAACTTGACAATGTGAAATTTGTCGACTGTGGCATGCGATGATCTTTGACCATGTTGACCCTTTTTGAACTTCAACCTAACCATTTGCATTTATTTATTTTTATGCAATCTATGCTAAATCTTGTACTTACCGAATGTCATAGGTCGTGACAACGAATTCATGAAATATAATCCATATAATCCAATTAAAACACAAATGATTTTAACTGACCACACTGCATCGTCAGCATACATGTGCTAAATAATCTCATTCGACAAACCTTTGCTGATTCCTTTGCCAGTATGAATTGGCCGAGGTGTGCCGAGAGGTGATATCTATAAATATGATAATGGGTGACGCAAACCCAATGTGAATGTAGAAAATAAAACTGTTTAGTACAAGAACAAATTTCAAACTATCATAATAAACTAAACTATGTTTTTTAAAAAAAGTGAGAGTGAGAGAGAGAGAGTGTGTGTGTGTGGGGGGGGGGGGGGGGGAGAGAGGCATTGACAAATTAATCGGGTTGTATTTTCAATGGGTTTTTTTCCCGACCAGATACTTAAATCAGTTTGCACATTTTGATAAATTCATCAAAAATGCTTTGTACTAAAATAATATTTTATGTCGTTGAGAAAGTAAATTTAAAAAGTTCCAAATTATGGGGAAATTATTTAT